CCCCCCCCCAGGGCTCACCCGGCACCGCGACGCCGTAGACATTGACCTCCTGGATGAAATCCACCATGGCCAGGGTGGCCTCCACTTCCGTGGTGGCCACATTCTCACCTTTCCACCTGTGGGAGGAGGAGGAGGAGAAGGGATGAAGCTGCTGGTGGGTTGGGCTGGCCCAACCCGCGGGGGGTGAGGAGGAACGTGGGCCTCACCGGAAAGTGTCCCCGACCCGGTCCTGGAAGTAGATGAATCGTTGGTGGTCGATCATCAGGAGGTCCCCACTGTTGAAGAAGGAGTCACCTTTGGCCAAGACGTCCCTCAGGATCTTCTTCTCAGTCTTCTGGGGGTCCCCGGCGTAGCCGTGGAACGGGGTGTTCTTGGTGATCTTGATGACCAACAGCCCCGTCTCACCTGCAGGAAGAGTTGGACACCACCCAGTGGGGTCACCCCCGGCCCCACCACCCCCACCCGAGCCCCTTCCAGCCACCAAGGGGAGGGTGGGGAAGCCCAGGAGGGTGGGTTTGGGGCTTCTCAACCTTCCCTGCTCCTCAACCCTGGTTGGGTCTCAGGTTCTTCTCACCGGGTCGGACGCGGATGCAGAGGCCTCGTTCGTCGCGGACAGGTTGGTCCTCCTCGACGTTGTACTTGATCAGCTCGTAGGGGGTGAAGGGCTGGAGGGCAGAAGAAGGAGGAGGTGGAGGAGGAACAGAGGCAGAAGAAGACTTTCCACCCAGGGCCCAGGTCCTGTCCTCCATCATCCACCTGTCGCCACCACCAGCAACATCCCCCAGATCCCAGCGGCCTCTTGGTGCCCCTCGTGGTCAAACCAACTCTTGAGGTCAACCCAACTTGGTGCCATCTTGGGCTCTTGAAGTCAACCCAACTCTTGGCATCAACCCAACCCTTGATGTCAACCCAACTCTTGGCATCAACCCAACCCTTGATGTCAACCCAACTCTTGGCATCAACCCAACCCTTGATGTCAACCCAACTCTTGGCATCAACCCAACCCTTGATGTCAACCCAACTCTTGGTGTCAACCCAACCCTTCATGTCAACCTGACACCACCTTGACCTCCTCCACTCAACCCAACCCTTGATGTCAACCCAACTCATCAAGTTAACCCAATTCTTGGCATCAACCCAACGCTTCAAGTCAACCCAACCCTTCAAGTCAACCCAACCCTTGAAGTCAACCCAGCCCTTCACAACAACCCCACTTGACACCACCTTGATGTTCTCCACTCAACCCAACTCCTGGTGTCAACCCAACTCCTGGTGTCAACCCAACTCCTGGTGTCAACCCAACCCTTGATGTCAACCAAACCCTTGATGTCAACCAAACTCTTGGTGTCAACCAAACTCTTGATGTCAACCCAACCCTTCACGTCAATCCAACCCTTGAAGTCAAGCGAACCCTTCAACCCAACCTGACACCACCTTGGCCTCCTCCACTCAATCCAACCCTTCACATCAACCCAACCCTTGATGTCAACCCAACTCTTGGTGTCAACCCAACTCTTGGTGTCAACCCAACTCTTGGTGTCAACCCAACTCTTGGTGTCAACCCAACTCTTGGTGTCAACCCAACTCTTGGTGTCAACCCAACTCTTGGTGTCAACCCAACTCTTGGTGTCAACCCAACCCTTCAAGTCAACCCCACTTGACACCTCCTCCACTCAACCCAACCCTTGATGTCAACCCAAC